TCGCTGGTTGGGAACCAGGTCAACCTGTTCCTCCCTCGAAATCTCTTAAACAACCTCTGTTTCCATGAAGGGTGTCCAGAGACTCCTACGCTGCGCCAGGGGTCAAGGCCACGTGTATTTACAGCCTTCGCGGGCATTTCTGTTCCCCAAATTGAAAGCACATGAGGCTCTGTCCGCAGCCCACCCACGGCTGCTGCCCGGCCAGCAGTGGCCCCTGGCTCCCCTCCATCCCGGCCGAGTCCCTCAGCCCCTTCGCCCACCATGCAGCCCCTCGTGCGCTGCCCTGGGGGGCCTGTGCCTGAGGCCGAGATGTTGCCTCAGGTTTGCATTTTAGCCCTTTTCCAAGTGCGTTTGTTTCCCCCTGACTCGATTTGTCCCCTTGGGCTCTAGGAAAAGAACATGTTTGCATTGAGGAAGGAGAAACAAGGAAAAGAATCATTTTTGCACATAAAATCGAGGTCATCCAACATCTTCAAAAGTGAACCTTAGTACAAGTTTCTGGACCAAGTAGCCAAAGGACGTCGGCCACCTGGGAAGGCAGAGGCTCTGCTTCCACGTCGGGGAACACTCGTCTGCAGTGGGCGTGGCCGGGCGCCGGTGCGGCGGTTCACACACGTTCCGGCTCATCCACGGACCCCCCACCTTCTGGTCCACCCGGCACGGGCGTGTCACCTGCGACGCCCCAGGTCTGGTGGTGGGATGGGAGCCTGCGATGAAGCGCGAAGTCGGAAGAGCCCGCCAGTGCTTCTCGCAAGAACATACGCTGTGTTTTTCATAAAGGACCCCACGTTTAGCTGAATATTGGAGACGTGGTGGACACTCACAAAGGTTTGTGAGCGACTGAATCAAAGCCTGGACTCATTCTGAAGGCGGGGAGTTTGAAGGTAAAAGCTTCTAGTTCTTTTCAAATCAAACAAACCACGTGCACAGGTGGCATTTACATCCTGACATAAAGAGCTTCTTCAGTCGAGTCATCACTGTTATCCAGCTCGACTATTTAAAGGGCCCAATTAACCAACATAGCAGCTGATATTCCTGGGAAGTGTCCCCTCGATTGAGACGTCCAGCACAAGGACGCTATATGCCCCCGTTTTTATATTTGTCCTGGGACCAGACAGAGGGCTCATCAATGCGGAATAAATGCGAGACATCGAAGCTGGGCCCATGCTCCTGATGGTCCCCGCAGAGTTCCGAGGGGCCTGTGACTGCCAAGCAGACCCTGGCTGCGAGGGGGTGGCCGGTGCCCGGCAGTGGCGTCTCCCTCCCACCCGGTCTGAGGGCTTCGTGGGAAACGGAACCTAGGCCGGCTGAGAAAATCCCGGATGTTCCCAACCCACCGTCTCGATCCATCTGGCTGAAACGGAAAGAAAAGTTAATTCCTGAGCAGTGAACAGGGAAGCAGTCCAGTGAGCCGGGTCAGGTAAGCGTCCTGCAGGGTGGGCCCGGCGGCGAGGGAGCGGCCGGGTCGCCACACCCAGAGGCCTTTGCTCCCCGCTGCCCAGGTGAGGGACTTGCCCCGTTGGCCTCTGTGCCCTCAGATGTGAAATGAGAAAGAGAGATGAGGAGGAAGATCTGGGGCCCATTCATGCGCCCAGCAGCCAGCGGTGCAGTGTGGTGACTCACCGTTCACCCAAGTACGTGGCATTTTTCACTTTTCAACGGAATTGCTTTCTGTCGTAGAGTCAGAGCTGCCCACCCACGCAGCCAGGAGATGGAGGCTTCGGGCTACCTGACACCTTGACTGAGATGGAATAGAAATCAGAGCTGCCGTCAGCCTGCAGGCCAGGCGGCTGGGTGTGGGGGCTGGCCTGTGAGTGCTGCCCCCTCCTGGCCCTGGGCCGCCCCCACCTACCGGATGGTGTGGTGAGAGGGAGGGAGGGAGGGAGGGAGGGAGGGAGGGACCTCGGTGTTCCCTTCGTTCGGGGCTCCCGCCCAGGAGCCCACGCCACCCGCCCTCTGTGGCGCCTCACGTGGAAGCCGTGCCTCCTGGTCGTGTGGGAGCTGAAGCTGCGTGTGGACGTGGGAGTCGGAGCAGCAGCATCGCAGTCGCCACCTGGACCGAGTGGGGGCAAAGGTTCTGTCACCCTGCTTCTCACCCAGGACCCAGGACCCAGGCCTCCTGTGGCCATTTATCGGCTTTAAAAACATTTTTTTTTTTAACGAAAGGTAAACCTTCCAGTTTATTTATTTATTTTTTAATTCTCACACGAGGATATTTTTTCCACTGATTTCTAGAGAGTTGAAGGAGGGAGGAGGGGAGAGAGAAACTTTGATGTGAGAGACACAGCGATTGGTTGTCTCCTGCACGCGCCCCGACTCAGGTACATGCCCTTGACCTGGAGTTGAACAGGGGCCGAACAGGGACCCTTTGGTCCGTGGGCCGACGCTTATGCATAAGTCATGGCTGTAATAATGATGATTTGAGGGGAAAACCCTAATTTTTGCATTGATTTCTGAATGGAACAACCACCAGATGCCTGCAAGTCTGCTCTCGGCCAAAAACGGAGCCTGTGTAAAGGAGCAGAAGTAAAACACTGATTCTCAGATGAAAGCATCCCCCCTTTTAAACACGGAGCCACCAGTGACAGGACAGCGTGAGGGCCTGTTTACTCCCGTGACGGGGCCAGTGTAAACCGCCGTCGAGGGGAAGCCGGTGGGGGACGGTGCAGCGTCTGGCTCCCTTATATGCCCATGTTTAGGGAACGCTGGTCAGACAAGCCCGGCCCCCGAGCCTCCTCTCAGCACCCGGGACGTCTGCGCGCGTGTCCGCTGGACCAGGACCCCGTGGGACTCAGGACCCCGGGACTCGGCGAGGCAGGACGCCCTTCGCCAGCCCAATTCCACTGAAAAACGCGTTTGAGTTTTTCATCACGAAGGACCTTCTCAGCTTCCACGGGCCTTCTGTGCTCACTTCCTTCCTTCCCCGGTTCCCAAATAAAGGCAGAATTCCAGACCCGCTCTGCCTGCAGACCACTGGCCACCGGCCTGGCGTCCGGCCAAATGACTCAGGCACCACCGCACTCGAATTCTTCATCTTCCCGCGGTGGCTTAGCAAGTGACAGGAAAAGCACCCGATGTAAACAGCCACCCGGGGCCAGAGCAAGGCCAGCCGCCCTGACAGCCGCTGGGCGTGACCGCACGGCAGGCGCTCCTCTCCCTCGGCCTGGGACACCTGCAGTCACACAGCACGTGCTCACTGTGGGGGTGACGAGCATGTGGGGTTCTGCTTCAGGCTGGGCTTGGCACCTCAAACACCCCGAAGAGGTTGCTCTCGAAGGGCACGGAGCAGGGGCCGACTTTAATCAAAGGCAGGCGCCGTCCCAGCCCGTCCTGTCCAGGAGCCTGAGGGGACCCCTGAGAACGACAACGTTTAAGTGTCTCAGTCGAACGTAGTGGACACGCGGGTCCACATTGTCTCGGTCGGGGCACAGCACGCATGATGCTGTCGTTGGACTTGAGATTCAGCAGACGAGCTGGGAAGAAGGCGAAAGACACAGCACCCAGTCCCTGTGGATGTGGGCGGGGCCCGTGGATGGTGTGGGCGTGGGGTGAGGGGTGCTTGTTATCATACTGCTTTGTGCCTTTTGAATTCCATACCATGAGCATTTTAAAAGTTTGATTAAATTGTTTAAAAGAAAGAAAAAGGAATGTACAGGCCTTTGCATAACAGGAATCCTAACTTTTTTTCTGTGAACTTTCACTTTTCCGCTTTGCAATTATATAAGAGAAGGAAGCAGAGAAGAAAGCGATTGTTTTAATTTCCTGTGTCTCTGCTCAGCCTGGGGGGGTCCTGGGGCTGCGTACCTGGTCCCCAGCTAAGCAGACAGCCCTGGACTTCCCTGAGCGAGAGACCTGCGTGCCCGCCCCCCTCGGGCTGCTCGTTGCTGCCTTTTCGGGGCAGGTCTCCCTGGGACTGTGCTTGGCCGTCATTGGGAGCCACACTGGCCCCGGGTCCTGCCGCCGTGTGAGGTCTGGTTCTAACAGGTGGGCGCTGATCACTGGGGACGATTTTGAGACACGTCTTTCTCAAAAGTGAATCTGGTGTGGGAGCCTCTGGAAATGTCAGAGTCTGCAGCGTTCTCTCTTTCTACCCCTGTGGTCCCAGCAGGATGCAACAAACAAACTTAACTTTTTAGGGAGAAGCTGATGAGGTGAGATCGGTCTCGATGGCCATCACACCTGTGGCCTCATTGGAGCCTGCCCTCTGGTCGGGGTCAGGCCAGACCGCACACGCTGCGGGAATGGCCCCCAAACGTCCTTCCAGGTGCTGGTCTCCGCAGTCTCCTGATGCGAATTCCAGACGGTCCCTCACTCTGTGGGGGTCACACACAGATGGGCCTGTGCTGCAGGGCAGACTGAGCTCACAGCCAAGGACCCTCTGATCGCCCAGCCCTGTTCCCACGCGGGGCACCTGTCCGGGTGTGTGCACCCCCCGGGTCACAGCTTCCAGAGCCCAGGGCCTGCGCATACCTGGGACTTACCTGTGGCTGAGGCCCTAGGCGAGGTCATGGGCTGTACAATGTAAACGTCCACAGGATAGTCTTCCACGTAGATACAACATGTCAACAGTGACGGTGAAAGAAGTTTCATAAGCGTCTATTCAGGTAACTCGCGCCGTTCACAGCGGGAGCTGTGTCCCCTCCTGTGCCCCGGGAGGCCTGGCTTGTGGGTGACCAGACGTGGTGTCCAAAGTCCGAGCCTTGCTCACAAGTCACGCGTCCTCTGTAATCCCTGGTTTCCACGCGTGTGAGGGGGCAGCGTCTCCACTCACCCGGCTGAGCTGGGTCGTTCCTGACGCGTCTTTCCAGCCGAACCCGGGGCTGTTTCCCAGGCCAATAACAGTCATGAGAAACATTTAAAAATACGTTAAGCATCTAAATTATATTAGTTTTTAGAGTTTAAAATAGAGTCACATTGGATCTGAAATGATGAGGTTGGTGCGACAACCGCCCCTTTCAGAGGGGAGGGTTTTGTCACACGGTCATTTGTGCACAGGAAGCAGCCACGGGAGGGGACCAGCACTTTGGGGAGAGGGGGAAACAGCCGCGTGAGCTGTGAGTGATCAACACCCTCTGGGAGGCTGTGCAG